GAGCATAATGTTTTAATTAATGTAATAATAATTAAATATCACAAACTATAACTTGTGCTGTGGTTTTTTATGCTCTTATTTTTTAAAAATTTTAATGATTGCATATGCATTGTTTGGAACGCTGAAAATGATCCAATTAAAGAAGTCAAAACATTTGTAATTTAAATCAACTACACAATATAACAACGAAACAAAAAATTATTTTGCGAAAAGAATCAGCATTGGCTTTAATACTTCTTAATATTAATAATTTGTATTTTTTTATGATTAATCACTAAACTGATTTATAATAATAACTTTAAAGTTACTACAAAACCATCAATTTATTAATTAATCATAGCTATAAAAATACAATTTTTACATTATTATTAGGTTGAGAGCAACCACGAGTTAACCAAAAATGAAAAACCCTGATAATTTTTTCAGGATTGGTCCTTGTCTGTGTATCTGATATCGCGCAAGAGATATCAGGAATTCGTTACGTTCGATTTTTTTGTCACAATTTTTGATGCATCGGCGCATCTGGAAAATTAAACGGAACAAATGTTAGTAATGTGCAACATAATTTTAAATTCCGTTATATCTTGCACGGTAAACATCGAGTGACGAAGTATGTCTAAAGAATTTACGTCAAGCGATGCATGTCTCGCACGTTTCGAACGATGTCAATCGTTTATTAAATCAACTTTTCTATTTTCCGACGACCTCGCTACGATCTAACATCATGTACATTTATGGCGTTATCGCGCGCATCTTTTCGAAACGACTAACAATGCAAATTGATGTGTCGTATTCGACCTTCCTATCTACCTGCTGTATTGTTTGCAATATACATAATCTTGCATATTCGAGCGAAACAATATCTACGGAAATTCTTTGTTGGAAAAATTGTGTTTTAAAAATATTTCAACGAAAAAATATTTGTTATATATCTAAAGTATGTACCACGATCATGCTATTTTCTTTGATAATGATTAAAAAATTAATCGAAACGTACATTTAAATGACCAATTGTCAAATTTTTTATAGCAAATATTTCGAATGATTTAATATCAACAAAAGGATCATTTATTGAAATATTAGCGTACTGTCTACAATGTCGATTCCCACTAGTCTTATAATTTTTTTCTTTTTATCGTATTTGAAAATAATATATAAAATAATAATTCATAATCAGTATGCTTAAAATGATGGATAATTATTTCAATCTGATAAACAGATAAATATCGCCGCAATGTTTCTGCATTTTCCTTGAAAAAAAAATCTCGTAAATCTGATTTATAATCTTAATGCGTTAATATCTAGACAAATGGAACGAATTATAGATAGGTATATATTCATAATCGGTTCTTATTTTAAAACCATCTTAATGTCTTAAGATGTTAAAACGGTATGATTGACTTATGATATCTTAAGGCTGTATTTAAAACGATCTTAAATATATAAGAACCCACTATGAATACCAGCTATAGAACGCTGCGTGCACAGTAACTATTAATTTTTACAATTCACATCCTTGCAAGAGCATTAATCACATATAGTCGTGCCTACATACAGTCGATTATTCATTCCAAGGCAAGAGATCGCGTGATAAACCCAGCATGTCGTAAATTTTCGGAAGTTCGTGCGTAACAACGAATTTATTGTGTGGTCTTTCACGTTATTTATATATCGCCGAGAGCGTTAATCTCGCATACAGAAAAACAATATTCGACGTTATTGTAGTTTATTTTTATCTGCAATTATTTGGAATAATCGTACGAGAGAGCGAATTTTCATTTCTTTCCGCAGAATGTCTCGAGGGTATTTTAAAACTATGTTTATGCTGCGATATCGACGCATTCAATTAGGCGAAAGTGCAAACATGACTAACGACGGTTTACGAATAGGTGAACGAACTCGAAGTAAACCTTATCACCCGGATGATTTGTACGGTTAAAAGAGCGGAAGAGCATGCTAATGTCGCACGTGCATCACACGTGACGCGTAACGACCCGCGTGAACATCACGACGATTTATGGTCAAACCGACCGACAAACTGATTGTTCCAATCGACCAACCTGTTTTTATTCCTCCCTTCGTCCTGTCAATTCTCGTGATACATTAGAAATTTGCTTACGCAATCGATAAGAATGTGATGGATAGGAGTTTGACCGTTAATTAATTGTGGTTAATCTTTTTATTTTTTGTTTTATTAATATAATTAATATAAACATTTTCGGAGGTCAAAAATTTTAAGTAAAAAGTGTCGCGCGTTTTAGAATAGAACGCGTTGCGTCGCCGAGAAAATCAGGAGTGCGGAACGTGAACTCTGATCAGTGATAACGTATATTTGTAACGTATATTAATTGAATTATGAAGAATGAAACTTGTTTACGAAAATCATTTATTAATCATTTTTACGACGAAGCTTGCATATTGAAAATTAAGTATGATAAAAATATATGCGCATCGATAGCGCGGTCGTTTCGTAATTATGCAGGGAATAAGGCAACATTGGAGCGAGAAATATAAATTCACGCCCGTTATGCTGTTAGCAAATTTATCGTCATAACGATGGTAGATGAACTCGAGATTTTATGGCGATGAGATCATTCTCGTTATGTGATTATGCTTGAGCTTGCAAGCGCAGATATTTATCGTACCATTTCACATATGTAAAACTTTAATAAATTATATGTTATGAGTAGCTTAAATTCTCATAAAAATAATTACGTAATTAATTCGCGACGTAATACATAATTTTTTATTACAATATTAGTGTAGTACAATTTAATGAAATTAGTTATAAATAAAAGAAAATTAAATTAATATAAAATTTCATAAAGTTGTTATTTAAAATTTAATCTTATTTATCTATCCACTATTCAATTTTATAAACGTTATCTTTTTTATTTTCTAATAATACGTTTTATATATTTTATTGAAATATTTTTTTTTATTCTTATTTAATATGACAATTATAATCTCGTGAATTTTCATAACAAAATGAAGTGGGGAAACTGCAAGATTTGAAAATAAAAAAGTCTATCATTTATGTCTATCATTAGACATAGATACGTCTTATGATCTGCATCATTTATGTACAATCAAATTTCCTTTTATTCAGTTCCAATTAAAACGGAATATTGATAGTAGAATTTTCTTGTTCTCTCTCCGTCTCACACAAAAGACAGTTTTTTCTCAAGATTCTTATATATTTTGTTTAAGTAGCTTTATCATTAAATAAATCTTCTATTATTCGATTATACATCAGCTATAGACAATATCGATAACTCTGTATTGTGCTATTTAGTATTCCCAGTTCATTGCACAGAAGTTAAGAGTTGCATATTTATGTGACAATTTGCAAATTGCGAAGTACGATTCTTCGTTATTTCTAAATTAGCAAAAGATTTGTATCATCAAAAGATGCATAATTTTGTATTATTTATCATTATATCATTATTAATCAAGATAATTACTCTTACGGTCCAAGTCTGATGATTCATTCGATCTACATTTAGCAAAGCAATTAACTAATTAACAAACTCATAGATTTCAATTTTATTAAATATACAATATAAAAATTAATATTGATCTCGTTTGATCTTATAATGAGACGGTTAAATCGTTACGCGTCATTTATAACTATTTCTTTTGTAATGCATGCTGAATATTTTATTAGCATACAGTGAGAAGAATGAAATTTTTTCGCTAAAACAGTCATTTTAAAATAAATGCGTCGGAGGTCTTATTTGTATATCGCATTTATTTATGTACATCGAAGAGACGAGCCTGTCCTTGAAAAATCGTAAATACGCACTCACCATATTTTTTTTATCTATTAAGTATACATGTGTGTACAAAGCGTGAATCATTTAAAAAATAATTTTCTTTGTATGCAATGATTTTTTTAGATGTAATAATTATTTTCGAAATTGTAATTTTAATATTTATCTGCTTTAAAATATTAAATTTTTTCTTCTATGTTTTTGATAATTTTATTTGCAAAGATTAGTACTATACATGTACGATGAAAATTGATATAAAAATCAACGTTATATTATTTACAAGAAAAGAATATGAAATTTCCCTTCAACTTGACCTCGTGGGGTTATCGTGATCGATATGGTGGCTGTTGCTGCTATTTTTAAAGATATTATAGTGTGTCATCGTGTATGTCGTTCAACGACATTCATTCTCCGTATAATATGCACCGAATATATTAACATCAGCGTGTTAAAATTTAAAAGCACTTTAAAGATATTAGAAACAACATTTAACATTAAAATATTTCAATTAGTATTAGGTGTTGGAATTAATTCGTAGCGTTTTACAAGTGATGGGAAGTACTTTCATTAATGTATTTTTTAATGCTCATGTGAAATAAATAACATTCTTTCATTAAAAAACGCTACGAATTAATTCCAATACCTAATACATTAATAATTAAAATTGAAAAATTACGATACATGCAGTGTCGTTTCATTAAATTTTCGCTAAAGAGATATGGATTTCAATTTCATCAAGGGTTTTTTTTAATACAGAAATTGCTTCTGTTAGTATTTATTGTAATAATAAATTTTATTATTTCTGGAAGGAAATTGAAAAATTACGATACATATTATGATGGAGTCTCATTAAATTTTCACTAAAGATACATAAATATCAATTTCATCAAAAGTCTTTTCAATACAGAAAGAACGAGGTTCTTCTTTTTGGTATTACTTATTACTGTAATAATAAATTTTATTATTTCTGTGTAAGAAATTTGCTCATGACAATGCGAGTAAAATATAATTGAGTAATTTATTCAGAAAATTACTGTTGGCAATTGTTATTCATTCTCTTTCGTTCGTTTCTAGGAGATAAAATTTTCCTCGTGTGCGGAAACATTGTATTATTATCGAAGGACACTGAAAAGTGGCTGCTGCGCGAATTGCCGCAACTATTGTAAAAGCTCGCGGAATTGGATAAGCATTCAGCAGAGAATAACAATTTTTTTTCTAACTGCGCAGAGTCCTGGGTGGAGCTGGTGCCGGACCCGCCGCTGGCGGCCCGGACAACGCCGACGCCGTTTAGCATTACCGGCGAACGTGAATACCTGCGACTTCTCAGGGAAGCACAGAGAGATTCCACACATTCATCCGCGAAGCATTCCCTGGCGTCTTCGCGCCGGGACACTCCGAGGGACAGGTAAGACTTTCTTTTCCGGATCTTTTATCTTCCAAGTAAGTTGGCGACGCCTCGGCGAAAATCGCCTCGCGTGGGACACATAATTTTTCGATACTTTAACAACTAGAAAGTAAGCGATTTCAGAGTAAGATACCGCTTTTCGAGAAGTTTGGGAAAATCTTCTCGATCGTCCGATTTGCTAGAAATCGGATTAAGATTTTCGAAAATTGCGACGATTGAACTTGGATAGTTCTAACCAAAGTTAACTTTCTGCAGAGTTTATAGAGCCATGGCACAAAAAAAATTAAACAGTGAGATTTAAGTAGTAAAAAAAATCAATACGTTGTGATACTTGCTTTACGATATCTACCGTGATTGTTTGAATTGTAATGCTTCAATTTTTATGTGCCATGGCCTTTAAAGTGTCCTTCATGCTGATACTCAACTAATTTTTAGCGTCAAAATAGATCGTACAATAGAAATTGACGAATATCAAACGTCACTTTTGACCTATTTTGACGTTAAAAATGAATGTTGAGTATCAGTATGAAAAAGTACTTTATACACACAACAGAGCCAAGCACGTGGGGATTCGAAAGGCGCTTTGAGAAACAGTATAAAGTCAACTCTTATAATCTCGGGTTTGAAGACTCAGCCAACAAAGCCGGCCGTTCAACTACCTATATTCACGCAAGTTCTCGGTGGGCAAAAGACGGCGTTTCCTTTCACACATCCTGCACGAGTACAACGAGAGAAAACGTTCGCTTCCGTTCCCTTTCCTTCTTGGGAAGGACTTCGGAGTAAGAAAAGAAGCGTCGTGACTCAGAGGCGAGGAATGATGATCCATACACATGGAGAACTATTTTTTTTTTTTAGTCGCTTCATCATCAAGCGTCGGGGTGTGGCTCAAGGTCGCGTAGATAAAAACTGTAGAAAGCGAATGACCTTACTGAGTACATTATAATTTCGCTTAGCGAATTGCGAATTATATACATAGAAATAACTTTAGAGCAAAAATTCAAAATCATAATTGAAAGAATAATTCCTTATTTTTTGAATTTTATGATGCACGGCTGATTGAAAGGCTGCAACAATTCATACTATTTTTTTAGAGCAAACTTTTCATTAATTCGAGCAGAATTTAGGCGATGTATAATTATTATAATTACTGCATTATTACCTGCACTTTTAAATTGATTTTAAACAATGCGTTAAATTGATTTTCAGTTGCGATCGTGTCGCAATATTCATAGCAATGTCGCATATCGCTCGTAAACAAAGTTATAGTTACAAGTAAACATTTATATTTTTACTTTTGTTGTTTAGACGGCTAAATTAACATGTGGCTCTTAACAGGATTAAAATAGCATCATTGAGAGATCCGCGTAAATATCTTGGCAGAACAACTAAACGCGTTTATACGCTTTGTTGCTGACAAAGGAACATAGTTCGATATCTCTATGCACAGATTGATCTATTAAAAGTATAGTCGCTGATTCTTTGACGCAAAAAAATTTGTAATGATTTGCAAAAAATATTATACACGTCATAATAAAAAGCATTGATCTGTGACACACTCGTGTATATGCTTTGTGTTTGTATGTGTTTCTCTAACAATAAGTAATATTATCTCGAGCATGAAAGTCACGATTCTGTTATTACAATATCTGCGCAACAACGAATATCCAGTTCAATTTCAAGACGATATTTTGCGATATGTAACGTCGTATTGAATTATTTAACTCGCTTTATGCTCAGTTCTATTAATGTAAATTAATTTCAATTTCGATTTAATTTATTTTTTATCTTTTTCTAATTAATTTAAAATTAGAAACAGATTAAAAATAAATTAAATCTCTAATTAAAAGTAAATTAAAGTTAATCTATATTAATAGAAATGGACATTATTTACTGCGTCGTCTGTACACTCGGCGTTATTATCATCCGTCTTCTTTGCAAAAAAATTTTGAAGAAGAAAATTAGCATAGGCTATTTAATCAGTTTGACAAACAACACGAGTACGACCGTTGCTAAACGTTTTAACACAAGGAAATAAATATACATTTATTAAATACCATTTCTCACGAAAAATTTTATCATTATTATACACGAATTAATAAATTTTGATTTTTTAAAAAGGTAAAAAATTATAAAAAAGTAATTTTTATATAAATATACACTGTTAGAAATGTAACCATGAGCTTCTTTTTATATAAATGAAGCTTGTGATTATGAACGAAATTAAAAATAATGAATGGTTTAACTGAAAATTAAGTTATAGTAATTACTTAAATGTAATGAACGTATACGTTAAATTTCATAAATTTTCATGAAAAGTACATTGAATTTCATGTACAGGTACATAAATATATATACTTTTCAGTTATAAATACATTAATTTAATGTAATGTCATGAAATTAAATTTAAATTGTGTAATTTAAAAGTATATTAAATTTATAATTTCATGAAATTTTTAATAGTATATACACACACACACACACACATTAGATTAAGATATCACATTAAAATATGAGAGAGACTACGATATTAATCTTTATATATTTAAACGATTACAAAGTTAAACATAATGCGTTTTATCTTGAAAAAAGAAAAATCAAAGTAGAAGAGTCGATAACGCGTAATACGTGTATATGTGATGCACTTGATATAAATGCGCTTATCGCGACTTGCAACTCTTCACCGAGATGCATCGATGATTACGAGCTCGATAGTGATTGCGCTGCCCTTCGTCGTGATATCGATATTGGAGCGCAAGGATAACCGCAGCCGTCAACCGCATTGCAACTGCGAGTGTCGGTTCGATCACGGTTTACGATGTACTGATGGATTACACATAATACGCGAGAGGTCGCAAACTTCCAAGGTGACATATTATCGTGGCGATTTTTCGCGCGTCGTTTTATCGCTTGACCGGAATGAATCTGGCGATAAGCAACTTGGCGACACTTCTCGGCGATTCTTGCGCAAATTAATCAACAAAAAAAAGCGGAGAAAATATAACGTTCATTTTGCGTTCTACGAATCGTATAATATAATAGAAATAATATATTTCTTTATCTTGATTTTTGATATATATAAATTTCAAAATTAGTCTCTTTATGGTTAATACTATCAGTATAGAATATTTGATTTTTATTTTGATATATTTATTTAATATGTCGACTCCATTTCTGTTGCTTTAATAAATTGCTGGTATATACATATATATATATATATATATAAAACGAGAATTTTAAATATATGAAATATCAAAATCAAATGAGAATTATAAAACGATGTAGATTGGACGTGAAATAATTTCACAAAGAAAGAATTCAAAACTCTCTCATTTCAATAATGCAAACAATTAAATTAAAGCATTTTATTTTAAAAAAGTGACCAAAAATATTAAATTTTATACAATATAATTTGATAATTTAACATTCCGATTATCTGTAAAAACAGCACGTGAAAAATCGTCGCAGTTTTAAATCAAGTGAGCCATAGCGACAAGTGTGTTGAGTAATGTTGGTTAAATAAATAAGCATAAACAGCAACAATCTCTATTGGAGGATTTCGTGACGGGAAGTCACCATTTACATTGTCTGCAACGTTTATGGATCATAACAAGTTTTTTCCTTGAATTTGCAGCCCGAAGAGCCCGCCGAACAGCCCGAACACAGAACTCTCAACTGAAGATGAGCTCAAAGGAGTCTATATAAATTACGGCTGTAATAAGGTCAGTTTCAATCGACTTTTTACTACGTGTTCTTTACGATCTGCTTGACTATATAAAAGCACGTATGGCGTGTATGGTGTTTATTTATATGTGCGTAATTACGTTCGTCCCTATTATGTCGCGCGATATGCTCGGTTGCGAATATGCACGATAACTATCGGAATCGTTCTAGAAATATATTGCAATCGCAATCGGATTTTTTCTCGGAAAACATCTGCCATCAATATTGCCTTCACTGTACTATATATTATCATTTTACTTTTGACTCACGTTACTCGAGTTCAATGAAGTAAACAAAGTCGAACGTTATGATTGAAACGAGGACGAAGTTTTAACTGTCGCATAAAGTTGGCAAAGTTTAGAGTTATATGCTTGAAGCAAGATATTATATCTCGGCACGCGATTTATATTATACATCTTTCTTTACTATACATTTAATTTGAAATCCTATCTATTACGAATGATATTAATGAGTAATTTGCATAATTTCTCTCTTTCATTCATTATTGTTTCAGCTATTTAACCTTCCGTCTGCGATATTTTCCCTTCTTCTGTAATGTTTTTTTTTTAGATACAAAAAAATTAATACATGAAATTTCACTTTTAAAATTTCCCCGAAAAAGAAGGGTGGAATCCGTTTCTCCCTTTTAATAAAATATCATGTTAAAAAACTATTGGTAATATAAGTTGATAACATCGAGATATCATTTCAAGCCCTATTATGGCGATTATAATTTCCAAGGACTTCGCCGATCTCACGCGACAGTTGAAACTTCGTTCTCATTTCAAGTATAACGTCCAACTTTGTTTCCTTTATCGAACTTAAAAAAAAAATAACATGTATTATTTTTAAAAAGTCATTTCATAACTTTTTAAAAATAATACACTAAAGATAAGAAAATTACAAAGCGATATAGAGTGAGAAATAATTGTAAAGGAAAAATGCAAAGGAAAAATTCGAAATTCTCTCATTTCAAAAAATGCAAACAATTTCCAACAAAGCTATATAGCTATATTAGATATAAAAGATGGGGTGGGAATAATATCGATTGAACTCGTATACCTCTATACGCGCACGAGTTTCCGTATTCGCTTATAACGATGCGCAACTGGTTTTATCGAACGGACAGTTTCTCTTGTACAAGGTCTGCGGATCACTGACTCCATTAGCGCTGTGTCCCTTGTAGCCATGAGCTATTGGATTACCACGTGTATCGATCGGCACAAAGCCTAACGCCGCTGCAATCTCATTCTTCCTTTCGTCGTGCCCCAGTTTCTTAGAGACTAACAAAATCGCGTTGCAACACGTCATGCCTCTCGGCACGGTTCTTGTACGGCTCCTTCGTCTCGGTCGGAACGATGATCTTTGATATTGCGCAATACAATTCTAAGTCGGGATCGTTGTCTGTTCGGCAAAGCACGCAGTATTTAAATCAAAAGATCTTACATGTATACAATTTATTTATATGATTTTTTGTGCAACATTTAATTCTTCGAAATTTAACATTTTATCTTGAATTATCATTTTTTAATGTTTACATTTATTTAAATTGAATTAGATTTCTGAAATCACATATATTTATTACATGTATACACAAAAAGATTTTCCTTAAAAAAGTGACATATTTGTATACAATAAATTTTCTTTAAAAAGAATTAAGATAATTTTAAAATAAATTAATAATTCATATAATGATGTTTAAATCGATTTTTGTAATTCATATAAAATGAAAACAAATGTTCGTGTACACATAATAAATAGATAAAAAAGTCAGATAAAAAAATGCCGCATAATACAATATCTTTGTGTTGTTAGACGGTTAAATAATTGTACGAGCAAGTCGCGACTAATTGTAAGACAATTTACATGCAAATACGACGTTAACTATTCATGCGCCAAGTGCAGCGAGAGTTCCAACGACATTTGCGCATTTCCGTCGCGATAGATAGTTATTGAAATATTCTTTTTCGCACTCTCGATTATTCGAGAGATATCAGAAAGTTGAAGATAAAATCCACGATATTATTTCCGCGAGATTGTGAGGAATATCCGCTAACAAAATGTCCGGATATTTACGAAAGAACAAAAAACGAATAGATCAGAGAGATTATTTTTTTTTTTAATTTGATGCAATGTTTGACTAATTTCCTTAACTTGATAAATTCAATTTTAAAGAGTTGAATTTAGATTAATATTTTCACGTTGAAAAAAATGTTTTTGCAACGATCTTTTTAATTTCTTGTCAGAATTGAAGTAAATTTTTTTTCAGAAAAAATTCCTAAAATAATAATTTTGTAATCTTGATAAGATCAAGGATAATTCTATTAAACAAGTTGAAAGACGTCTGCGTATTTAACTTGAATTGATAACTCTGCGTAAACATCATACGATTCTTGTTTTTAAATATGCAAAGATTCTCCAAATGTATAATGTTTTGTTATGTATTATTTAACATATTTTTTCATAATCTGATAAATCTGATGTCCTCATAAATCTTTTCTTTTGACTTTTATTTATAGGTGTTGGAATTAATTCGTAGCGTTTTACAAGTGATGGGAAGTACTTTCATTAATGTATTTTTTAATGCTCATGTGAAATAAATAACATTCTTTCATTCAAAAACGCTACGAATTAATTCCAACACCTAATATCTTTTTATATGTAAAAGAATAAAGTCGTTTGTAACATGTTTTTAGACGCTCACGTTTATAAGTTAATTTTTATCGTACACATTACGATAACATTTGTTATTACATTCATTTGTTTGATTTTTTTGTCAGTTTGTCACAAAAAGGAACATAAACATGCAAAACATAATATTTTATTTGAATATGTAGAAGATATGTACGAATGTTATTACACTGCGATAGCGTTTGCATTTACTTTTGCAATAAAGATATGTTTCCAGATAGGCTTTCATAAAAACGTCTTCAATAATCACGATACGATAGTCGCGATGTCTTTCCTGCTTGCGCATCTTTTATCTCTGCGTCGAGGACAAATAGACGTCATTATCATCAGAATTAAGCAGGTTCTTAAGAAAATAACGTAACATCTTCGCGAATGATTCGTATAAAACAGCGCGAGGTCGAGAGATCGATTCAAATCCAATGAATTGTCGATAAAGCTGGAGACGCGCGGGGAACTTTATTATATTACGGGAAAGACTAAAATAGCGACGAAGACTGAGAGACTGTATTGTGGAGTATGAGTAATGATAACAAGTAAAACCGCTCGTGTAAGTAAGGTTTTTCCATGAGTCACTCGTCCTCTCAGTCTTTGTATCGAGAAAAGATTCACTGCTACTGAAACACGTGTTAGTGTATTTTTCGCTCTTAACGTTTTTATTGATTTTTCCCCAAATTTATCTCTTCATACGAATTACACAAATTTATTTAACGATCTATCTATCGTTATTGCCATATGTCCAAAATTAAATGTAATTGCGTTTTTAAAAAGCTATTTTATCAGTTATATGCGCATTTTCCTTTGTAATATACTTTTGTTTTTACACAAAGACTATATATCTGTAGAGATGGGAATTGTTTGTTTACGAAGACTTTTATCAGAATTGCGTATTTACAAACACTTTTAGGAATGACGTATTTATAAGCGAGAATCGTCTACAAATATTTATGTTTAAGAGCCTAAATAGAAAATTTAATATTAACGTGTATGTCACATTGGAGGTATGACTTTCCTATTTTTTAAAAATCTTTTTCTCTCTCTTTCTCTCTTTCGTAACATTGCATAACTTGGAATACTTTAATTAATTATACTTCTTATTTCCTTTTTTTAATGCTAATTATTTCATGATATATCACCCAACAGTTGCACTTTTACTATTTCTCGTTATTTTCATTCATCATTACGTCGCCAATCTGCAATATATAATATACTTTCTTTCGACTGACATAAGATATGAAAATTCCAACTGAATAAATCTTACATTAAAGTAAAAGTAAAATCAGAAAAGCTATACCTGAATATCTTTTGAATTGCGAAGACTAGACTATCTAATTTATCGTTATGTCAACCAAAGAAATCATATCAGTTATCCGAGAATCTCGCCGTTCCTGTACGACAATAGCTCAAGATGAAAAATGGAAAATCGATTTGTAAGAATATCCATGTTGCACGCAACGATGCTCACGCAATCTTGTAAGTCGACGCTTTTACTCTTCTTCTGGTATCAGTTCGCAAACCGGTTGTTGCGCATTTGGAGTGAATGTATTCGCGCGATCATGTTAATGCGTTGAGAAAAATATTCCATTATATTTATGCTAGTAACAATGTACCTCTATACGTATATACAGGATGTTCCAAAATTTGTAATTTAAAATATCATAGCAAAAGTTTTTTGAAAAATTAAAAAAAAACAAAATTTAAATAATAGGGCTCTTGAAATTAAAAATAATAATAGAGTTTGCGGGCAATGAGAGAGCGTTAATAAAAAAATTATTTCTAAATTATTTTTATTTTAAGTAGTATTTTTTTTTAGACAATAGAGATTTAAATATAACTCGTTATAAATTATATTTAGCCATCTATTCATGAGTTGCACGTGCGATAGTTTAGTGAACGCTGGTGGCACATTTTTTAGCGCACTTAATACTCACAGGTGACTATTTAAACGTAGTTTGTAATAAGGTCCTATTTAAAATTATATTTTAGAAACTACAAGTAAAAATTTACTTATAGGGTGTCTCAAAATTCGCGATTCAATATACTGCAGCAAGAAAAAGTTTTCGAAAAAATTAAGTAAAAAATTTACAAATAATTTTTTTATTCAGTTTTTCGAAAACTTTTTTTGTTATAATATTTTGAGTCTCGAATTTTGGGACTTTATATATATATATAGCTAATCCTATTTATTAAACTACATTCCGCAATGTAGTTTAAAATACTTCGAGAATAATGCATTATAATAATCCTATTTAAGGTAATGCTATATTTTTTTCCACATTACGACTGTATTTATGGCAAGCGATATTTGTCAGTGAATCAAAACACTGACGCAAATGAATAATTAATATAACAGAGGACGCAATGCAGTCACTTTACGCTGGAGAGTCGCATTGGTGACTCCGTTCCATTGTGGTGCATGTTTCGTAGTGTGGAATTCAACGGATTTGCGGCAGAACGGATGCGATGGATGCAGAATTTGTGGCATGGAACTAATGTAATCTTGTTATTAAAGTGTATTCAATCGATCGATGAAAAAAAACAGTCCTCAAATAGACATGTTGCGCTAAACTTTGCAATAATAAAAAATGCATGTGATCTCAATAAATATAAATCGCGGATTGAACTGTACAACGCAGATTAATTTTTAATTTATTATTACTGTTATTCATGAAAATTAAATTCGCGTTAATTAATTTGTTAATTCAAAATTAACTTTGCGCACATTCAAACTAACGTTGAATAAATCTTCTCGAATGAATCTGGGCCCATAAATTTTCCTAAAATTTTGCAGAATCCATTTATTGATTTATTTATTATAATAAATCCTGTCATTTCCGTGGTAATTCTTGCAACCTCGAATAATTTCTGGCTATTGAAAGGCAACGCCTTCATTGCTTCTTCGTAAAACGTTGTTCAAATCGGGGGAAAGCAATGATTGCATAATCGGGAGTAACAGATTGTCTTCAGCGGCGCTGTCACTATGACGTAAGTTAAACTTTATTGAACGCCCAGTAACGCAATGTAGCCGCTCAAATAGAGTGACGGTTCAATGAAGATACGATTGCCGCGACGTGCCATTGAATGATGTGACATTGGGGACCGCGTCGCGTCACGACGACGTCGCGATCGCGAGCGTCACGACGTTCTTTAGCGTCACATGAAAATTGATAGCCGCCACTGCGTTTCACGCGCGTTACACGTTGCACGCATGCAATGTCACGACGAAGAAGCGTCGGTTAAAAATATAATGCAATATCTTTCCTTGAATTTTTTCGTGAAGCACGCGGCGCGTTCTTCCCGGACGTTCGTGTAGGTTGCAATTCGTTTATTTAAACTTCCGCCCGTTATTTACGCGTGTGCAATCGACGCATCTGGCAGTCTGGTGCTATCCAGAACTACGCCCACTTCGGGAATATATTCTTACGTTCTCCGATATGAATTGTTGCGAATAGTCGTGGCACGCGAAAGGTACTCGTGGTAGGAGAACAACGGTTCTCGACTATTGTTTAATCCTAATTAATTGCACGGGAAGTATCACGACTTGCGTTCTCCATTGCGATTAAATAGAAATTTCGAAAAGAGAAAGTACCTTTTTATTTCAGAAGTCCTTCTCAGAAACAGCTGAATGTTTAGAGAATTCAGTTTTGTTTTATCAAAATATTTTTCAATCGTTAATTTCATGAAGATTAATTTAATTGTTAGTGGTGGAAAAAAGTAACTTAATTTTTTTATAATTAATTGTAGCTGTAAAAATAATGCTGATAATAAATATATAGTTACAAAAAAAAAATAGAGAAAAAATTGTGTAGCACTATTTATTTTGAATATATTAAGTGCAATCATTGAATACTTGAATTGACATTATTGAAAAAATATTTAATAAATTAAAATTAAGTGAATTTTGTAAATTGTATTCAGCTATGTCATCGCAATTAGCGAGATGAGTTTATTTGCATTTGTTTGCTCTCGTTTAATCCAGCTTGTTGGATCTAACTTTGTTCACGAATGTTAAAATGACAAAGTCTGATTTTTTTTTTCGATTCGTCGAAGGGATTTATTATATATAGTTGGGAGAAAAGTATGACATTAAACGACTTCGCAGGGACGCCTCATTTATGGTACCGTTAATGAGGCATCGCGTCTTGTCGCTTTGTCTTTTAAATCGGTGCGTTTCGCGGCCATTGCGTTTCCTACGCCGTGGATTCCTACTCGTCGTCGTCGTCGTCGTCGTCGTCGGCGGGAAGAAAAGCGGGGTCGGGACAGCACGCGTGGAGCACTCTCGGGAACGTCGTAGTATCGACTGGCCAATAGCCGGTCGTGCCGAGCTCACGCCATGCACGACGTCGGCGCCGTCGTGTGAATCCATTCTCCTTTCGGACGTCGCGCCAACGTTTTCGATCCGACGCGCGACGACGCTATGTGTTGACTTTCCCCGACTTCGCGTCGCAAAAGAAACGCCGACGGCGTAATTAGCGCGAGAGGCGTGTTGCGGATTCAGATCAATCGGGCATTTAAATTTAACTCCGGTGTTACTACCATGGGTGAAAGAAAACGCTCTGTGTAGTTAAGTTCATACTGAACTTTACCGGCGTGACGTTCATTGATTTGATCGTCATCGATTGTAATTAATTAAAAAATATAATAAAACGAGCATTTAAAAAAAATTTTTTTTAAAGCTATTTAAAAAATTATATCTTTTGCAAGTCTGGGTGAAGTTTTGCTTTGGGAAACATTATTGAATTAAGGAAAACAGGAAAAAATAGGAGATAAAGACAAGAATAAATCCTCAGGATTTCATGTTGCATCGCATTTCGCAATCTTGATTCGGAACATCTGCTCCTTTCGCATTCGTTGTTGTTTCTTTTTTGCCGTCTATTCTTGAGTAGAAACTCGTTCTTCGTGCATTTTCTGGAAAACTTAAAGAAAAAAAAACAGCACTTGAAAAATAATTGTATGACAATGATATATAATGTACATAAAATGTAGAAAAATAGAGAGTAAAAAAGCTCGTTAGTTTGCACAACAAAAATATCAAATAGTAACGATCAAAACGGTTTTTTTTTAAATAATACATTAACTTTTTATTATTTAAGAGAATATAAAATGAAAACATTTCAAAGTCTTCAAAAGTTTCTAATAAATAAAATATCACAATACATTTCAGCGATAAATTAATCTTAAATTCAAATAAAGTAAATTTTGTTAATAATTGTTGATAATAAAATTGTTGTTAATAACTGTTGAATAATTACTAAGTCAGGAACGAGAAATTGCAATTTACTTTACAATGAGACCCAGATGTCGCATTAGATGTTGGATTGTATTTTAATTTGATATCGCATTGCACTTCCATCGTTGTCATCTTGATGACGTATATTATTGACACGCGCGACCCGAGGGATCCAAGGTAGGCAATGAAAAGCAAACGCAGTCATAAAAATTTATATTTACAGTGTAAAAACGTAGAATCTAACGTTATAATGACGACATGCAGTTTTTCACGATCGACCGACAACTGCGCGCCATAACGCTTCTCATAATCAAGAAGTGGTGATACGTGCATGAATTAAAAAACCGACGACACATAAAAAGCCTCCACACGCGAGTATATCGATTTTCGAGTTTTTCGTGCGTTTGTTGCGTGCATCAGATACGCGACGTAATTGCCGCACGAAAGGCGACCGCTGTTTTTTCTTATGAAAAGTCCATTAAAAGTCACGATAAAGTTTTAAGATAATTAAGCGCATAATATACAATTGTATATGTATAAAGAGATTTTAATTTATACTGTATATATTTTAATTTATATATATATATATATATATTTATATTATATTTTACTAATATTAATATTATATTTTAATTTACATATTATTATTTATTTATATATTCATTAAGTGCAAATGATATGCAATTGTATATTAAAATTTAATTTATTATTTACATACTTTATTATATCTATGAATTTTTAAGCAAATAATGTCGCAAGTGTCGAGCAGATGTATGTTCGAAATAAATATCGTCGGTTGGAGAACTGGCGGCGGCAAATGTTCGAATTATTGGAGGTATCTTCGCGGGTTTATTGATCTCTCTTGATATAACATTGACTCACTCTCTCTCTCTCTCTCTCTCTCTCTCTCTCTCTATCTATCTATCTATCTATCTATCTATCTATCTATCTCTCTCTCTCTTTCTCGATGAATTTATATGTGACAATGTTTCCTCAATGTACCCGTGCTTCACATGCTCCTGATCGGAATGCGAAAACGATATAGCGAGCGTCAAGATAATCCACAGCAATCCGAGAACAATCTGCTCTCCGATCGTTGCTGTTCTGTTAGCTGATCATCGTTCAATAGTAATAATCGGAAAAGTAATGATTCTGATGAAGTTACGAGTCGTGTCGTGCGTTGCAACGCGCAATCTTTGCGTTCGTTGATTGACAGCACGAATCATTGAGGAATTAGACTTTTATCTTAGCAATGATAAAATACTTTCTGTGATCGTAAATACTACCGTTCTGATATTGGCACAAAGAACAATGGCATATGGAAGCAAGTTTACTTGAAATAAATCGAGAAATATCATTTTGGAAACATTTCTGAAACGCGTGTGACAGAATACACGAAGTATTCGCTTGAAATGTAAAACGTAATCAAGATACAAAAAGAAATAAAATAAATTTCTACGAGAGAGAGAGAGAGAGAGAGAGAGAGAGAGAGAGAGAGAGAGAGAGAGAGAAAATGAACTTCGATTTTCGACTGTGCACAAGTTAATATCTATCAATATTTCATTGATATAAGTTGATTTTTATTGATTACGGAATATTTCTTTTGCATAAATCATAATTCGACAAATCAAGCGAAATGCAAATTGCTATTGTCTAACTAAACGTAAACAGCCACGCGGTTACCGTCGCGTCATTAAGAAGATTGGGCTTATCTATTGAGTCTTATAACTGGACATTGTCTTGTATATACATACGTAATGATCTGTTTCTGAATTCGCCCGTCATTAGTCCCAGTAGAAGAAGCAAGAAGATAATAATACAAAGCTCAACTTTGTTGAGCGCCAAATGCCGATTTAATTCGAGAACATCGTCATTCAATCATCGTGCTTCGGTATTCGATTCCCATTAGCGTTTTTTCCTTAACAATAAACAGATAGTGAATTATACTATAATTACTCGATTATGTATAACGTACAGTAAACACGGGGACACGGACGCCGTTTTTAATGGATACTCTGCGTGCGTACAAATCGTGTGATTCATAAGTTATCTTTGCGCGTTCTTGTTCTGTCATATTGCGTATTAAATCGATGACCCAGTTCGAAATAGAACCGACTAAAAGTCTCTCGTTCCGAGAGAAATAGTTCATCAAACATTTAAATCTCTCCTCGATACGGAGGAGGCTCCGAGTAATTCGCGTCACGTCCTGGTTCCCCCTTTCCTTTTTACACAATCAATTCACACCTTCCTGAGCGATCGTCTCGTCCGAGTATTGTTTACAGCCAGCGTTTATGCGCATAACTTGCGATATACTGCGCATATCAGATCCGATATACGACATATAGTATAGATATGTGCAACACTGGCGGAACGCCAAAGGTCATCCTTGAGCATTCACTTTTCCACGCGACGTGATTACCATTCATAGATATAGAGAGTGCCCCGTGCAATTAATTTCTCGTTGCTTTTTCACCCCGTCGAACTTCTCGTATCCGGAATGATTAATTTGGAGTCTATCTTGTTTCATTGCGCGGCACGATAACCGTGAAATAATTACTCGATTATTCTCTTAACAAGACGTACTTTGTTCTACTTCGCAGGAGGGCGAGCTTCTTGAGAAGAACACAGACTGGATTTACGAATGGAGCTCTCGACCGGACCAGGCGCCTCCAAAGTATGATAACGAGATTTTAATAAATTAAATATATAAATAATTATATTTAATTGTCTTATAATTGTTTACTATTAAAAGTTACACCAAGTGTATCAAGTACTCGTATAAAAAAATAGCTATACATATTTCTGTACTTTATAAAGGATTAATTTTGACTTAAGAGACTTTTTTTTTTACATTGAGTAATATTGGCGAATAAAATTCTTACTTACGTTTTTTAATGATCTCATTCTCGTTTCAGAGACTGGAAGTTCAAACACCCTTTGGGTAGTAAGAGGAAAACATACAGCATCCGTACCGCGAAGGTTGGCAAGAACGGATTGTTTTCCAAGGAGGTCATTTATACTCTATTCTTCACGAATCTTCTGTCTCTGCTCATTGGAACCGGTCTAGGGTAAGATAATGCTCAAAATGTAATATATTAACATATTTTTTAAATTTTATTTTTACCTCTAAAACATTAAAATCGCTGATTTCGATGCTGATAATGCACATTTCGAAAAGATCCAAATCAAATATTTACTATTATTTACTATTATTTATCTTATCTTGTATTATATCTTGTTATTACGGTATTTTATATTATTAATATTAATCAAACCGTATTGATTCTCAATTGACAATCAATTTTGGTATCTTCTAACATAGGATTGTTATATTTGTAATTGTGTGTTTTACTCTTTTCGACTATTGTATTGACTTATTTGCTAATCTCATTAATTTTATTGTAGCGTTTTGCTCACCAGGCGAGGCTTGATGATGTCTCGTGTCGCTATTGAATGAAGGACACGATTCCGGGTGTGTCAGCATCAGGATTGTCACGATTGAATCTACGCTGAGAGAAAGGCTAGAGACGCAAGAAAGACTGAACAAGCCGGTGGGCGATCGAGCCTAAAAACAGTTACACGCAGCACATAATTTGATTGTCCCGATTTATAATATTAGCACTTTGTATTATATATTAGCACTTTTATTCCTCCAAACCCCCTTACTGTACGTACTTCGTGTACTTCTCAAAAATTGTGTATGCCAGATATAAATAATACGCATTATATGCTTAGGAAAAGGGAAAGCTAAGAAAAAGAACGAAGATAAAAGAAAAAAGATAGAAGAAAGGAATCTATTATATATAACATAGAGTTGTTGAAAGGGACAAAAAAAAAATGAACGAAACATGTCCATTTTATACCGTTTCTAATACGTTTCTATCTGCAATAGTTTTTAGGTATAGCTTGAATAGTATTTATCAGAAATAATTATTGTTAGAATGGAAAGAATGGAGGCGAGAATGAGAGCGAGAGCGAGCGAGAGAGAGAGAGAGAGAGAGAAACAGAAACAGAAACAGAAACAGATGGAGTGTGTTTGTTGTACGGAGGTGAACAAGATTTATTGATCGAAAAGGATTTTAATGATAAGAACAATCTTGAAAATGCTGCAGAATTCATCTTGTTTATACAAGTTATAGGAATCTTGTTGCATTGTGGATAAGCGAGATGATTTAATGTTGTGATTCGTTATGGTAACAAGAAGGAAATATGCGTCATATCCAGTAAATTCGAAACAGAAGATTAAATATTACATAAACAATAAGGCGATGTCGATCGATTCTTTTTTTTATCGTGCGGTAATTGTAATGATTGTCATCTCGGTGGTGATTTAAACGGTAACGATAGTAAAGTTCCTACGGAGGAAGTACCGATGCTGACGCCCACCGTCTCGACGCCGACTACGAGCAGTAGCCGGAGGGAGGGACCACATATGCGAGCAGACTTGTTTGCGAACGATGAGAAATTTTTTGAAGTGGAGCTTTTGTACGATGTCTTAATCTGCAGTTTTGTAATTTCCTTATAATAAATTCACATACGAATTTCACACGCTAACAAAATGTGTTTTGTCGTCTACGTCTTCGATTTAAAGCGTTTGGCCTGTTCGTGACCCATCGAATGTATTTCCGCGTTTTCAGTACATGAGATCTCGAGAAGACGAACAAACGGTCGAAACCCAACTTTTAAAGAACTTGCAAGAATCTTGTAAGATTCCTATAAGATTCTTGCAAGAATAGATTTTAACAAAATTAAGAAAAAAAAATTTTGCACGTCTTTTCATATTCTCGAAGAATTAAATCACTATTTATTGAATCGATTTGGAACTGATGAATTTTATTTTTGTAAATAAATATTTAATGCTTCGTGATTACCGATCGTATCTGTGAGCATATGTTACAGAAACGATATTTTTTATCTTGCGTGTGCTTCGAGAAGGCTCGAGTTCGTATATAAAACGTTTGCGTGTAAAACGCAAGGTACGTGCGTGATACACGCGTAACTTTTTTCCAGCAACAAGAATTTATGAACGCTCTCGCGCTTATGATTTTGTACTTTATAAGAAAGTTCGAGTGATTTAGGAATTACTCAAGTAGTTTGTCAGAAATATGCACAAGCGACATTGCGACATAATCTTTTGAGTTTTGAGTTCAGAAAAAAATATCAATTTAATGTGACAGATTAAAAAGTCACACTTTTTAGTGATTTAGATAAGCCATATTCATACGTTCAGATAAAATTAAATGCACTAGAAATTACGTATTTTTTGTTACTCGAAATCAGCAGCAAATCCCCCCCCCCCTCTTCCCTCCGATTTTGCGTGGATTAACAGATTTTCTTTCTGTATTCTTAGTTAAGAGTAATTTAATTTGCAGTGATGATGTTCGACGTACTTTTCATATTATTTTGTAATACTTGTATGTATGTCATACGCATAATAATAATAATCGTATTGTGTATGTAATAGTGACGTTGGTGACTTTGTAGTGTCATTGGGCACATGATGGAAGTATACTTCCACCGTAGTCGGGCACTCAATTCTTTTTTCGATATCCTTTCAGAGGTGCCGTTGCCTTTTGCTAAAATTAAATTTTTAATTATGAATAATTTATATATACAAACGCTATGAAATAAAGGGTTTTGTAAATTTATACCCACGACGATGTATTTAATTCTACGAGATGTCGTATTTCTGTAAATATTTCGCATATAATTTCACATATAATGGCTCACGTGAAGCCATTTTATTTTTATTTTTTGTATGCGATATACTTTGAAATGACAGAAATTGAATTCTGATTCAGACAATTTCAGTGCTATAATTAGAGTACACAGAAGGGATTAACCTTACCATCTTGTAATTATCCACGATATTGAGAGAATGTTGAAAATAAGAGAATGCATCAAACGAACTTTTCTATGGATGACGAGTCGATTGATGAGGTGTATAACAGTAATGTGAAGGTTTTCGTGCGAATTTTACCACTTGAAAAACCGTGTGATTCTTGCGCAAAGATCAGTACGGATGGTAAGGTAAGATTAATGTAAATCTCTATCGTTAAACCAAGACTATTCCAATAGCTGAGGAAAGATTATATCTCGCCAGCGTGGGATATATTCTCACGAAATTTGCTATCTTCTTGCTATTATTATTGTTTATTGAGATGTCTTGTAGTTCATTTCGGTACATTTTGTCAATTAATGCATTATAATTAATTAAATTATTATAATGTTGTCATTTAGACAATATACCTGAGATGCTTGCAAGATATGCAACGAGACAAACAGTCAAAACATCCTATTTATTGGGCCTTCCATATTGATGGGATATTTCATGAGATGTCCCAGGATAAGGTGTATTGCGCTACTGCGAAAGATCTCGTAGAAAAGTATTGATTAATATTTTAATTGCTGTAATGATATTCCATAATGTGTCAACGATATAATTAATTAATTGCATTATGTTAAATTGATAGTATTTTTTTAATAAAATGGAGAATATAAAAAATATTTTTTGATTGTAATGAAAATTAGATTATTGAGGATAATTTTATGTATTTTATTAGAAAATATGCACATTACTGGATAATAATCAATAATTAATATTACTTATCGCTGATAAGATATGGAATATCATTCAAAGTCTATAAAAGTAAACACGTATGATATATACAACAAAGGAATAATTTAAGATCTTTAAACGGTATAAATTGCATACTGATCGGCTATGGACAAACAGGATCCGGAAAAAGTTTCACGATTGGCGGTCTCAGAAATAATTGGGAAGTACGCTTTTGTATCTTGCATAATTTTACTTGGATTATCGTTCGATCAATTATTTTGATCGTTTTATTCATTAATTTAGCATAGAGGAATAGTCCCGCGACTTTTATCTGACATGTTTATGGAAAAGGCGAACCGAAGAAAAATCAGTAACATACGTTATCGTTTAAGTTTCATCGAGTTGAGAGGTAAAAACGTAGTAGATCTTCTGACGCAAAAACGAAGGATTTTTAACGTCAACGAACGCGGTGTCTTTAAGGTATTGTGATAAAAATTCTAATTTGTTTTTTCGCAGGAATGTATTTGTATCCTTGTGTTCAATTTTCGGAGAGCTTCTACGTTGCTTATGAAAAATAACGTATCAAGAAAATACTTACTTTTGCGATTTCTCAGAATTTTTATATTTATTTAAAGTGTCTTAACTTTTGTTCTGCATACGTGTCGAAATCAGCACAATTACGATTTCAGAATGTAATTATAATAGATGTAGAGAATGAAGAAGAGACTTTGAAACAAGTACGTGAAGGAGAAGGCAGGAGATCAATTGTGAGAAGCACAACGTATCCGGTATCACATTTAGGTGCTGCTGTGATTACTATTTATGTTTCAAATAGGAGCTTGATAAAATCACAAGCTATCGTAGCGACAGCAAAAGTAATTGCGAATTTGACATTTTTTAAAATAAATTTTGAAACTTTCTATGTTCAAATATTTTTGCATGATAATTTGTAGATTACTAGAAACAACTTTTGTATTGTTTTATTAAAATGTTAAAATATCTGAAATGTTATAATATTTAAATATTGGGTATGGATATAACATTTAAATATAGAACCATTATTTGAAATATACAAATTAAATATATCACGTTTAAATATTTTAAATAATTAAATATTTTAAATATAATTAAATATTTTAAATATATTACGTTTAAATATTTTAAATAATTAAATATTTTAAATAATAAATATTCGTGATATATGTAACTAAATTTTAAAGAAATTACCTTGATTGAGAGATATCTTGAAAGAAAAATTATGAGTTTGTTTTTACGGATCAATATTAGATACATATCGTAGAGATGGCTGGAACTGGTACGGTAGGAAAATCGAGTTGCTGGAAAACAGCAGTCGACTTAGGTATGGCGAATTTAATGAAAATACAGTTGGAACAATATTTCCTACATCTTAGAAAACCAAGTATGAGTACATATAGCGTTATTCGCTCAAGTAATTTGCTGAAGCTACTAAGAGATGCTTTTACTGTCACATCAATCATTCGGTAATTATATAATGAATACAAATTTGAAACAGAAGTAGCGCAAATTTTCTTATGTTAATAAAAAAAAATTACAATAAATTCATCTTTTTTCCATATCTTTTTTTCCATATAAATATTTAGATAAATATAGATAAATATGGGTATATATAAAGACAAATTAAGCACTGAATAAAAACACGATTCTATAATATTTAATAAAATAAATACGCTATTTTTTAATTCTCTATGTACTTTAATCAAACTTCTATATTTTCTATTAAATTTCTAACTTGGCTTAAAATTCATACATATTTATTCATACGTTTTAGTTGATTAATTAAAATCTTGACATTTCTCTTATTTATCAGCTTTATATCTCACGTGCGCATCACGAGAGAAGATCTCGAAATTACTTTGTCGACCATGCGAATGACTGCTAAAATCGCAAAATTGAAACCGATCAAGACGATACGTCACATCCAGCCACAGACAGAATTGATCGTGCAGCAATTACGGGAGCAAGTAAACACATTGAAGAAGGAATTAGAGTTGAATGATATGTTTTTACATCAAGAGGCACTAGCGAACATCTCAAAATCTAGACTCGAGCAGATCTGCCGAGACGTTATAAATTTTTTGCAGGGTTTCATTTCGGAATTAACACTTTTTAATGTTACCCATGCGCGAGTATTAGTAAACGTCGTCAAACAATTATACGACAAGTTCGTTCCCTTGATATTATGCATACTTGATCAGAGTTCTAATTTAAATTTATGTATCTTAATTATTTATGTAATTTAATTAAAAATTAACTGCGAGGAATTGTAAGACATGTATTTTTTCACATATTTGTAATATTTAATATAATTTTTTCCATTGTATGTTTTTCGTATTTGACAATGGTAAAAAGAAATTAGTTTAATAATTATAAACGCGGTTAAAATTTTACGACAGAAATTTAAATTTTTTTCTAATTATTCTAGGTTGCTCGTGAAAGAAGTTGAAGCGGAAAACTTAAAAAAAGCGTACAACAATGTAATAACTATGTTATTGCAACCAGATGTTATTTCGTCCTCATCGTCATTAATTTGTCATGATGCATGTTAATTTTATAGATATAATATACAATTTTCGTATGGTATATTTATTAATATTCTCTTTACTCTTACAGTACTATATGTTAATATAGATGAGATTGACGGTCAAATAAAATTATTCATTTATTTGTTCATATTGCATAACTAATTTTGTTATTATATAGGAAATTATAAGAAAATATTGCAGCAAACTAAATGATGATTTAAAAATCACATATTTACAAAAAAATTGATGATTTAAAAATTACACATTTACAACGTAAAAATATCAATGTCGGAAGAAAATCGATACGCATATGTAGAAAAAGTAAAGATTTTAAATAAATATTTTATCTGGCATTACACGCACTAATTATGGAAACAAATGTGATTGATGTCGCAAATTTTTAAATGAAACTAATAGTTTCATAGAAGATAGATTTTGGAAAATTAGTCTATGGTTGGTAAAACATAAATTTCATTAATATTTTAAAAGAAAGCGTTGCCGTTATAATTGCGAATGTTGCTCCCCTGAGAGAATTTTTCATATAATTTTTCAGAATTTCTATATAATTTTATAACTTTCTCACATTTTTTTATACGAATTGGAACATTTCTCAGAAAATCTATATCTTTTCTCAGAATTTTTCATATATGTTAATTATAAAATCTCGTAAGATTTCTAAGATTTTTTGTAAATATAATTTCTGATAAAATGTCATAAAATCTAAAAATTTTTAAATATATATATTTTATTTAAAAATTATGAGATGAGAAATCTCAGAATATTTCAGAATTCATATGTATGAAAAATTTGGAGAGAAGATGTAAACTTTTCGAATATTTCTAAATTTTTCTAAAAAATGTTTTAATTTGTATAAAAATTATAAGAAAAATTTTCACTAGATTCGATTATCATTTTCGGGTAAACATAACCTAAACATTTCAGACGCTACTCGATTTTTGAAGTGATCAATCCGTTATTGTTATTGCTATGATCATCTCAAATTCTTATTTGATAGCTGTGTATACACATCCACACGTGTCGTGTCCCGCCATTACATCTGGGATTACATTTTGTATTTATTTGGATTCTAGAAATAGTCATGTGTTATCAGTGTTATATGTGCTATAAGAAAGATTTTTTTCTACAATCAGACCAAATTTAATTGTTTGCAAAAATTTATTCTTTATTGTTTGATCAAATCAATTCTATGGTTACACAATATATTCTAGATTTTTAATTCAATTCTAATCGGTTGTATAATATAAAAAAAATATTTATAGGATCAAAATTAAGTGGCCCACATAAATTAAAGTATATTATTTTTATAAACAAAAATTGACAAACAATTTAATTAACATACATTATTTAAAATATTTATCCAGACATATATGCATAATAATATGAGTAAAAAAATAACTTTTTTACTTTGATTTATTTATCTTCTTTTTTAAGGGGGGAAAACCACAGTAAAAGTTTGAAAAAATCGAAAAAATTTTTTTTCGCTTATAAGGTGCTTTAGGGTCTTAAGAATAACATACCAAAAGATGGAGTGCCGCAAAAATTTCGGAATACCCAAATTTTCCATTCTGCGGCAACGCCTCTCAGGTATGCTCCGAACGCCTTTTGTGATTCCGGCGCGCGCTGTAATTTATGAGTACGGGAGCAGGTATAATGGCAGTCGATGGAGAAGGAAGTTTCCTCCGAAAAGTCTATAGTACTTAAGAACGCCTATAGGTATCACCATATGTAATAATAACAGCAATGAGAGCTTCAACTCGACAGTGTGGGCGATGGCTCCGAAAACTATGAATTCCGGCAAAATAATTATCGACATTGCTACGAACATCGCTTCGTGTGTTTTTAATGACGGATTAATATCAATTTTACATATAATCCAGGTCATGGGCATGAAAATGGCCCAAAAAGTCACGAACTATGCATGGACTTGGATGAGAAACGCATACAGAAAGCGGAACGATCTTTGAGTGAGGGCGCAAAACAGGCCCGCATCGATCTGAAAACAATTCGAAAGACCAAACAAGAGCAGGAGATAGATGAAGAAGGCCAATTGTATGGCGCAGGCATCGCCAGATTAGAAGTATATAAAAATATTATCGTAGGGTTTTTTTTTATATTACATGGTTTTTTTTATCAACAATTTTATGGCGTTTTTTTTTGTTAAATTTGCAAGTTTTCCTTAAAACGTGCACCATTTTGCGAAAAATTAATATATCAAAAAAATCCTACGTACTTCCATAGCTATTGATATATAGAACCTAAAAAACTGTCATTTTTTGTTCCAGGTCAAAAATTAAGGACTCTAGATGTCCGCCCATGGTCCCTCCTTCAAAAATAGGCGCCATCGGACAAGTGCGGCACAGCCGCCATTTTGTACCAAAAATGTATGAAAAAATTCTTATTTGTACTTCATTCATAATATTATAATGCTTATTTTACAAATTTTTGATTGATCATTTCATTGAGCCAAAAAAAATTCCCGAAAATATACTTACTTTTTCGTACTCTACTGTGGTTTCCCCCCTTAATTAAAATAAAGTATAAAAGCTGAAGAAACGTTATGAAGTGATAATTTATAAGGTTTTAGAATAAAGAATTCGTTTAATTTTGTCAAAGTATTTTTAAAAGAGAAATATACAATTTCCCAGTAAACACAATGTTACATGTAACGTATGAATTGTAATTTCCTACTCAACAATATAACATGCGTGTTATATTACAGTTACATTGTTGAATGAGAAATTAAAACTGACAGGTACATTTATTATGTAATTTGTGTTCACTGGCTCCTTTTTCAATATACTTTATACACGTAAAAAATAAAATATTAATTTAAAGATGTATAATGGATTTTTTGAGACATGCAAAAATGTTATAATTAATATTTTTGTGTGTCTCAGAAAGTCCATTAGACGTATTTAAGTTAAAATTAACATTTTATTTTTTACAGTGTACAATTAAATCGCGATTTTTTTTTAGATATCTTATAACATAATGTATATATTTTATTTAAGGATTTCGAAGCTTATACAAATGGAAATGAATCAAACTAATAAAATTCTAAAGAATATAAAGTATTGCGTGAGTATATTATTATAAAAAGTAACATGAGGTAATAAAATAATAAATCAAAGAATTACGCAAACATTTACGAGAATCTTTTTTATGTTATCGTAATTAATTACCATATCAAATAAAAGATGTTGGACATTTTCTAAACGAAGGCCAGATTTATCTAAATATCTATTATATATAACGAATAATTTGCACCAGCATAATCAAAAGATGTCAGCAATATTTACAATCATGTTAAGAACTATGGATATTTATCTGAATTGATAAGTTTTTAATTTAGAGAATTTTTAATTTGGAACTCTTCTTTAATATAAAAATTATACAATATTGTGTAATTACATTTTTTATATTTTCACGCTCCAACAGTATATTAAAAATTGCATGTTTAAAAGTTTATTGCATGTTTATGAGTAGTAGATTCTAATCCATATTTTGCAGGAATGAATAAACATTATCATATAAATTAATCTTTCGTAAAGCTACAATTTTTTATTATTTCTTGTCAAAAAGAGTTTTGTGTCGTCCAAATATCATTTCATTTAATAATTACAATTTAATAGTTACATGTAATAACATAATATCGCATATAGTTGAAGAGGCAGATGCAAGACGAGATATTGACTAACAAAAATTGCTGGAGTTCGAATTTTACAAGCGAGGATGATAAATCAAATATATTTTATAGTATCTATAGTTACTATAGAAGATACTATAAAGATATGTTTTATGGAACTAACGAGTTTGATAATGCACGTGAATTTGATAGAGTAGTGTGTGCTTGTATCGATAAACGGTGTTGTTTCGAATTCTTGTTGGCAAATATCGATTCGCTAGTTATGCGGATCAAAAGTCTGTATGTTGCAAATCTATTAAAATTCTAGTTGAAATAACCAACATTTAATAGATTTAATTAGAAATCTAGATTTAACAAAAATTCTGGATCGTTCATTTTTTATTAGAATTCTAGTTAATTCAACTAAACATTTTTTCCGTGTACAATTGCGAATATCTAAATATTTTAAATTGCTGAGTATGAATGTAATATGTATTTTGCTTTCACATATTTCATGCCTGTAACTATTTAGGAGCAGAAATATATCGCGAAATATGTGAATCTAAAATTCAAGAAAAAAAAGTGAAAATTAACAAGATTTAAGAAAGTGGAAATTTACAATTTACAAGAAGACAAAAGATTTATGAAATATATTAACATTAATTAATATTTATAATATTTATTATTTATTATAACTGTTTTTTGCAATATATGTGTTGTACAAGTATGAAAATATATGTTAATTAATTTTCCATTCAATTTTTATTATTCATTATTCGACTCGCGTCATGGTCTCTTCTAAATCACTTCTAGCAATCTTATTCGTAAAACAAATTTATTGTCAAATCATATTTATCTACTAGACAGTTGAATCTCAGCGAAATCATACATTTCGTATAAACACAGGCAAAAATTTGAAAAAGAGAAAAGAATCTTTTTTGCCAAATGTCCTTCACAATTATAACCTTTCGAATGAGTAAATATGAAAATGAAATGATAAAGTTTATCATGTTATGCTTTTCGAGTCGCATGATACACAAGACGATTTCAATATTATCACGTTATTACGTTTTAATACTGGGCTGTTTAAAAAGTTTTTCAGTTATTTTTGTTTACACTTGTACACGTACAAATGGTGATTATTTCGCGTTTCTTTAGTTCTTAAAACTGGCGCATAATCATGATCTATATTTTATGCTCGCGGTTAAACACAGCGATTGAGGTTGAACGAGCGCGTGAAACTTATGCCAATCTAAAAAGGTTTGTATTACTATAATATTCAATATTAAAACTTATTCTGTCTGTAAATAAATCACGTAAATTTAGATGAATTTACAACAGAATTTACAATAAAATTCTGTAAATAAATATGATGTAGAATATCAGTATGTGATTGAAAAAAATTATATAGGATATATGAAATATCTATTTACTTTTATATTTTACAAATTATTATAAAATTAATTCAAAATATTGTAAATTCTTCATTAATTTTGTATAATATAAATATCTTCGAGAGAAAGAGAGAGAGAGAGAGAGAGAGAGAGAGATTACTTAGATTTACTTCGATATATTCTATTTAAATTATAAATTATTGTATTGAAATTTAATAATTATTGTTAAAAGTAATTTATGAGATTTACGATATGCACATTTTTTTTAAAGCATATTAACACTCTTAGAGATGGAACAATCTCAGGATTACAAAAGCGAGAAGAATATAAATCTTCAAGTGAGTATCATTGTAAATAGCAAATAATAGTGGCATATTTGTTTAATACTTATGCGTTTTGGGTTAGTTATCCGATAAAATAGATTTCGACTGTTTTATATGTGAGGGTATAAGATATCTAGGTATGATAAATAATATGATCAGTTGGATCACGCCAAATAGCACAAAGAATATGATTTTACGAAAAACTTTAAACGTTTTCGGAAAGGTAAGACATTGGAATTCAATCGTCTGTAGCCTCTGTGAAAAGTATTGCAACTAGAAAAAGAAAAAAATTACAAGAATATATTATTCTCTAAAATTACAAATTTTGTAATATGAGGATTGTTTTTAAATCTGATAAAGACGTATTGTATATTTCTATGCGTCGATCCACAGTTGCGTTTCCCTTAGTTGATTTATTGACGACATTTGTTAACATTCGCTACTATAAAAAAACCGACCTCATAGTCCAAACTTTTCTCGCAATACTTTTACACAATATGTCATATTTCTTTACATGATCATAAAACGGTAAATTACGATGTCATATGTATGTGACGTCGAGCTCTCGAAATAAACAGACGCGGGCGTGTCACATATGTGACACATGGTAGCGAACATGTTAAACATTCGTTGTATATTTGGCGTGCATTGTGGATTTATTGAATCAATTTTGCTCTTTTTTTAACTTTAACTAAAATAACTAATATTGACTTTATTAATATCAGCTATAAAGATAAAAAAATAGCAAAATTGACTCAGTACATTCACAATGCACGCCAATAAAATTAATAAAAATGCATTGCCAATATTGCACACCATTATGACATGAACAATACTGAAGAAAAATTAATTTTTGCTCGCGAGCAGTAACATAATCGTCGATAGATGAACGTGGCGGGGATCTAATTCTTTTTCTAACAATAAGTATGTAAAAAACGGGATAAAATAAAAGGCGCAACATTATGAGATTTCTTATGTTCTAATGAAATAATAATAAAGACCAGTTCTAAATCTGGTACATAATTTTTGAAGTAATTCTTATTGTACTCTTCTAATAAATTTTTGAGAAATTATAATTAAAAAAAAAACTTATAAAGAATAGTTTGAGGATTCTCTTTCAATTTGTACATAATTACATCATGTAATATGATTATATATCCTATATTTATAGTTACAATATTTTTTGCAGTACATGCTACATTTCATTTCTTGAATATTAAATTCTTAGCAATTAGCACGTTGTTTTATTTCACATGTAGGTGCAATTTCAATATAAAAGGATGTTACGTTTGCGCGATCTACTTCTTAGTGGAATAATAGAGAATGGTATTCGAGAAGATTTTATCATTTGTATTGACAACGTAATTCAAGAAAACAATGAGCTCGAGATGGATGATGACAACGAGTACGAAGTAAACGAGTACGAACTAATTGACTTTTATGATTGGCAAAACGAGAAGAAAACACGCACTAAATTGTTGAAGATGATTTACTTATCAATTGACAAGATTTATTATGCAATTCTTAAGAGGTATTTAACACTGCATTCCATGATAAAGAAGTATTGCGAGAGAGCGACACAATTTTTGTGCAGTAATAGGAAAATTCTGAAGTTCAGTAACTTTGATCATCAGGAGATGTTTTGCTGCAAATATCATTTCTTAAAACAATTAATTGGTTACCTCCATCACATCTTATAATTAAATTAAATAAAGTTAAAACCGATTTCTTAAGAACATACAATTCAAACTAATGTAATTTAATTTTTCCATATGCGTTGTATATTCGTATTACCTATTTTTGATGAAACGATGATTTTATAATATTTTTGCTTAAATTGCTTTGTACAACTCATTCTTAGTTCTAAAAAAAAAGAGTATTTTTTATATAACCAGCATATCATCGAATATCAAATATGGATTAGAAATGTAACATAATTTTTCGTCGTATTTATATCTTTAACATATACACTTTTTATCTACATTCAAAAAGAAAAATGTGGATATAAAACATATAACGAAAAAATGGCAAAGCTAAAATTATAGAATTGGTCTATTCTGTTACGTAATAATTTATATTTAAAAAAATAAAAAAAAATTTTTTTAATTAATTAATTATTTGTACAATAATTATAAATTATTTAAGAATATATTTATGTCTTGTTACACATTTTAATATGTATATATGTATGTGCATATATATATATACATAATATATATGTATATACATAGTAGATATATATGTGTATGTGTGTGTGTATGTGTGTGTGTATGTGTGTGTGTATATGTGTAACATGGTACATAATATACTATACGCATTTCCAAATCAGATGGTCTTTGTCACCAATTCCTATCGATTTGTTTACTGATTTTTTACTATATTCCTCAGATTAAAATAACGTATTCAGTTATGTTTTTAAATTTTTATCTTCATGAGATCTTTCCTAGATATGAATTTTTTAATATTTTAAATTTACTTCGTAACGTTTAGTTGAATATAACTTTTGTTTAAATTATTGAAAAACAAAAAATAAATAACAATAAATAAAGGGCAAAGTAAGAGTCAAACACATTTTAAATTGTAACACAATTAAAAAATAACATCAAATTGTTCGTTTTGAAATTCTCATGACCTCTTACGTTGTCTGGCTTTATTAAATTTTTTTTTTTTTTCTGTAGTTCAGATGTCACATGTTTGTATCCATCTTTTTCAGTTGTAAGAATAGTTTATGTATATCTGGAACGTTTTGTACCTCTTTTGTGCAGACAATTGTGCAATTTTTTTTGTCTAAATCTGGTATTCTCTGTTGCTTTGCTGCTTGCATATTTAATTGATCTTCTTCTAAAGTAACGTAATTCAGCTGCAGTTAACTTTTAACAAAATTTAGATGCTATATGTTCGAAAGCGTCCTTCATCAGATGTGATATTTTCCAATTGCTTTTCAAACTGTGAACGTTTTTCCTAGAATTCAGATAATGATCTTCAAAAGCTGCTTTTCCAAGATTGTAAATTTCTTAAGTTCTAGATATTTTTCCGTCAAATTACAGATTCTATCCCCCATTTATCCCCATTCTATCCCATAGAATATACTTTGGTGTATCAAATGAGTTATTGCTAGTTATAAATAAAAAAATGATTAAAATAATTATAAAACAAAATCAAATTAATTTTTCTGTACTACTTACCTTATAATTTGAGTAGATCAATTTTATTAAATGTAATGCTATCGTTGCTATAGTTTATAAATGATTTGACAATACATGATCGATAAATTTTATGCGATTTGTCACGATATGTAACAAATGGATTCTCATCGCTACTGATGTCTTCGTAACGATTTACTTCACTATTCATAAGTTCCAGCTCAAAATCAGCAAAGGCTATTTGGAATGTAAGAATAATATTGGACTGTAAGAATAATACACATATCTTTTATTTGATAACAGTTTATCAAAATATTCAATTTGCATAGTATAAAAAATTAACGCACATGAATCTATAGTATCAGATTTGTGTCTAATAAGTCACATTTCTTTGATTAGTGATATATGTGAGCATGTTTGAAATAAAAATGTATTCAGTTTATTAAATCTATCAGTGTCGCACCAATCTGTCTCTTTTCTTTAATCTTGAATGATACTATAATATTGTGATTAGTGGTAGTGATGATCCGAGTTTGCAATAACCTAATACGCTCTTCTAGAATCTGAATTATTTTTTTAATGCAATCTTTCTTTTGCATTTTGGATTCCATTTCTTGAAAATCAGTTGTTTGAGTTAACTGTTTCATTCTCTAAAAATATGAATTTATTATGTAAGTTAAAAGATCTTAAGATATTATTTAAATATTTGCTCTTTCTTGCGGTACTATTCTAGGTATTTCGTGTCAGACTTCTGTTCCTGCAAATTTCTCACAAATTCGACAAATTAAATATGTATAATACATTTTATTATTTTCCAAAAGAAGTTTAAACATTTATTCTAGAAAGTTGAAAGTATGTTCATGAATTTAAAAAAATTTTTTTAATTATTTTGAATAGGTTAAAAAATGGACGAATTCGAGATATCTAGACTCGTACCAATGAGGCATCGCTTTATGCCTGGTACTGTAAAGATTAAAAGACTTTATCGTGTGTGATTGTGTAAAAAATCCAATTAAAAAATTTTCCATAATAACCCAAAAACATATATTATTAGGTGTTGAAATTAATTCGTAGCGTTTTTTAATGAAAGAATGTTATTTATTTCACATGAGCATTAAAAAATACATTAATGAAAGTACTTCCCATCACTTGTAAAACGCTACGAATTAATTCCAACACCTAATATAAAACATTTATAATATACACTTATCTCTAATTCTGGAGAGCGCGTGTGGCAGAGTAGACAGCGAGATCTGCTATGCTAGAGATTCGATTCCCGATAAAATCAAAATATTTTCATACATTCGTTCTCTTCTCGGATGGAAGTGGCAACCCATCGAGAGTATCTTTGCCAACATCTATTTTTATCGATACACGAAATAAGTGAATATATGTTTAAAATATATCTATTTATTTCGTGTATCGTTTTTAAAAGTGCATCGTCAGGCATAACTTCGCTCAATTTAGGGTCATTTTTTACATTTTTAGTAAATGCAAACTTATTTATTAAAAAATAAAAAATCAGTTATCCTACACTTAATATACATCAAATAATTTCAAACTAGAGCACGAGCGTGGCATGGCAGACAGAAATCCCAGGTTCGATCTTGATAGGAATCAAAATATTTGCTCATGTCTCCTTTTGGAAAAAAACAGTAACCTTTCGAGAATATCCTTGCACAGAAAAATTTGCCATTCGGAACCGGTGCTAAAACTGTAGACTCCATATGCTTGTGGTAATCATGATATAAATTATTGTTATAAACTTTTAGGTATTTTTTCCGAGCAGAGATAAGCCCGTTTTTATAATGATTTTCTAAAAATTAAAAATTTATCAAGAAATTTATCAATAAAATTCATTCACGATAAATTCTCGATTATATAGTGAAAACGGGTTTTAAAACCTGTTATTAAATGTCATGTAATATATTTACATATTATTTAACCGAAAATACTTTTAGAATTATTACTATACCGAATTTCTGTTTTAAATTTCATTCGTTGTGCCATAATTAAGAACATTAATTAAGAATCTTGATTGGTTATGCGCATATCTTTATATTTATACTACAGTATACATAATCAATAGGAACACTCGCAAAAAAATGCGGGTAGATCCACGCAGATATGACTGCGCAATTTTTATTTTGAACCGGATCCAATGAAATGTACAATATAACGTACATAACTGAGTTCTGTTGGTTCTGTTTCACACATGTATTATCACTAGACTGTAGATATTTATGCAAAATACTTAACGAAATGTTTTGCATAAAATGCATATTTTGCATAAATTGCATATTTACGGGAATCTCAATCTTTTTACTTCATTTATTAATAATTCTTTAACGAACAATGATCGATTGCTAAAACTGTCCGATGGTTAATATTCAGTTAAGTATTTTGCAGTCTAATTATCATATGTACTCTATATGTATTGTATACAGAAAAGAAGACAATTTGTAGGAGCTGTTTTAAATATAAAATAATGAATAAAATAAAGAAAAGTTATGTTACGTACAGTATTAACCAATGCGATAATAATATAACTACATTATTACTTATAAGTAGGGCAATCAAAATATGCATAGGGCATGTTTTTTTTTGTTTGATTAATAAAGAAATACAAATTTCATAAGAAATTATGCATTTTGAGCTCTATATGTTACAGCATATTTCACACATAAGAGCATATTTTTGCATATTTCATACATAAAAGTATATTTTGGCATATTTCGTGCACAATATTTACATATTTTATCTATTTTTATTGTATATTTCACATCGTTTTCTAATTTAAGTTTATGATTAGTTTTTTTCTGATATAATAATAAATAGGATTTCTCTAAAACAAATTTTTCTCAATCAGAAATATGCTATAACATATTTTATGTCTTTAAAAAAGGAATTGATTAGATAAATGATTCCTATACGCCGCGATGTATTGGTGCGCAGTGATGTTAGAGAAATCACAAGGAGAAAAAGATTTCGCGCTTTTACGTTCAATCTTCTATATTTCTGTGTCATACAATACATAACATCAAAGACCCTGTCTCTCTCTCTCTCTAGAGTCACTATAATAAATAATATGTATTTGTTTAATTTTAATGCCCCGTAAGATTAATTAAATTTTTTAAAAATGTAAACAAATTCATTTTACTTTGTTATTATAAATAAAAAACTTAATTAATAATTTGAAAATTTATGCGATAAAAAATAATTTTTAAATGAATATGTTCCTTTCTTTAGAGCATTTTTTTTCAATTTCACAAAGCATATTTTAGGCGCTTAAAACGGAATTTTACAGTATAATTTTGGTTGTCTTACTTATAAGGCATTACATTCGGCCTTGGATTTTTTTAAATGTTAACATAGTGGATGCTCACGTAACTATCAACACGGAGATCAAAGGTGCCGACACGAAGTGTTCTTACTGATTATACTGTATTTATACCACGGTGGCAATTGAATAATCAGCGTCGGGACGCCGAGTGGCTCGGTGCGATTAATTAATGCGATGATCTGTGGATCCGGTTTGATCCTACCTGCGCGCTGCG